CCATATAACAGCTGGCACAAAGATAAGATTTTCATACAGCGTTACACTATGCATGACCCCTTTTCAAGTAAAATGCAATGTGACAACTAGACACATGATTCTATAACAAGGTAAGGAAAGGTCCCCAATATATGTATATGGTGGGAAGAACAGACCTGTCATTGAAAGTGTGAAAAAAATAAATGTATCTGTGTAGACTTAGAAAGGCAGTAAAAGTATAATATTAAAATATTTATGTTGGGGAGATGAGATGGTATTGAGTTTTTGCTTTCTTTTAACCTGTCTTTAATATTGTTTAATCATTCTTTTAGAGATACATAACCCTTTTGAGGGGGTTGAAAATGAGGTGAAAAAAGAATTCTTGTAAAAAAAAAAATCAAATCCAGAAGAAATAAAGCTAACATATGAATAAGTTGCAAGTATTGCTGTCTCCTCAAACTTAGTAGAAGCTGGAAACACTGTGTAAGGGAAAGGAAAGGAGGGGAGACCAACTCCTAACAAAGCAGGCCTAGAAGGAATACTGTTCACAAAGAGAGGCTATAAATGTGCTGCTGGTTGGTAAAGGAGCAGAATTTCATTAGAAACAGAGGAGGATGAAACAGGAAGCAACACTGTGCACATAAAAAATGTATATGAGACATGATCAAAATACAGTGAAAGTTTAAATTTTTCAAAATTTTTAAGAGTAAAATTGCTATTAATCCCCCTCAAAATACTCCCCATTGCTTTGAGCACACTTACGCCATCATTCTTCCCACTCTCTGAAGCAGTTCTGGAAGCCTTTCTTAATCTGTAGTTGCACTGTGGTGGCTGTCTCGTCCTGGATTGACTCAAAATGTTTGCCTTTCATGATCATTTTGACTTTGGGAAGGAGCCAGAAGTTGCGTGGTACCAGATAAAGTGGAAGAAGAGACACTCTAGTGTTTCCACAAGACTGCTTCTCCATTGAATGGCATGCAGCAGCAGCATTCACTGTATCTTTGATCACATCTTGTAAATACATGAAAGACATCTTCCAGAACTTCAGAAAGTAGCAAGAATGAAGGGATACATGTGTTCGAAGCAGGGTGTGGGGTATTTTGAGGGGAGTTAATGGCAATGTGTCTTTTATAGTAATTTTTTAATTTAAATATTCTTTGTATATTTGATCACACCTTATATTTACTGGATTCTTAGGTTGGAATTTTTAAAAGCAGAGCCCAGGTAGTTCCTTACATATGTTAGTTGAACCCATTTTAAAGTAGACAACATTAACAAAAAGAAAACTACAGTTGCTGAGTGGACTGATTTTCCAAAATTGATGGAAAAGCTCTGTCATGGACAGTTTACATTTCTTAGAATGTTGATTAAGATGAAATACTGGACAGCTAGAAAAATGGGAGCTTAGAAGGAACAATCTCCAGCTATTATTTCTGTCAGCATCGGATGGGAAAAAGCACTGGAAAACCTCATTTTGGACATGCTGAGGAGAAGTCCATCCTGTTGCAGCTACAGAGAGCTCCAGGTCCTTAGGGTTGCTTAGTTCAGTGAGGTGACTTGTGGAAGATTATGTTGTGTACATTGTGCCTACTCAAAGCAGGCATCATGGAAGTGATTTTCAGTATTAATGTCAGACATTTGTACTCAAATGACTGCATAGAGTCTGTCCTATAAATAAATACAAAGTTTTCATAGCATCAGATACATTCTCGTGCTCATTGAAGTACAAGCTCCATGGAAGAATGGAGACTAATTTATCCACCACTGTATCACCAGCTCCTGTGTTCCTGGTACATAGTAGACACTTAACAAAAATTTCCACTGTTAAATAAACCAAGGAGAATTTTCAGAGAGAAAAAGTTGTTAGAATTTTATATTGCTTCATGTGGAATACTTGGGCACTTTTATTTCATTTGAAACAAGCCATTAAAAGACATGAAATGTGTATCATTTCACCAATTACAGTCCTTTAAAATAAAAATCTTGCTTGCCTAAGAAAAGGGATACCTGCCAGTATACACACTGTTTTAACTACTGGCCTTTTTGCTTTCAGAGGGGAAAAATATCTTGATGAGAAGATAAAATGATGTAATTTTGAAGTCTTTTGTTTTTGAAAGATTCAACTACATCCTGTCCCCTGTATTTTTTTTTAATGATGTATTTACAAACATGCCATCACTCACTTGATGTTTACCTTACCACTATACATTTTTTCACAGGCTTTATTGTCACCTGGGATTTGTTTTCTCTGACAGGGCAGCATCTAGATGAGTGAATGTGTATTGGAAGCACATCCTCAGATAGGCACCCTGGTCTTTCAGCAAATGCTGCGCTTCAGTGTGCACCGGGTCTTGCTACCTGCCTGCTTTCATTCACATCTGCCTGCTTTAACAGCCCAGTGTGAACTTCCAGAATGAGTCCAACCTGGTCCATTTTTTTCTGGAAGAAATTACTCTAATGAAAAATTTCATCACTTGCTGAGCCAAGCAGACTCTTTCCCCCAAAAAACACGTTAAATTTCAGTCTGAGAGCTAGTTTTTAGAAAGCCTCTAGGTAAAAGTATCTCATGGTGAACACCCACAAAGTGCCAGCTCCTCAGGGTTTATTATACTCTCTCCTGCCCAATGGAAATAAGTGTAAAAAGCTTATAACCTCAAATTTGACTGGAGAGGATGCTAAATATTGTAAGGACCTTTCTAGACCTGCAGAGAGTAAGATGTCATTTGTGTTTACCTGACATCATTATTTGTCCTTAATTGTCAAGGTGGGGCACCCTCCAACCCCTTCCAGGCATGCTCGCATGCATGCCTAGACATTGACCCAGAGATTGATGGGAGTTTCCCTACTGGAATTTTAAGCTGTACATTTGTTTGGTTGCCTTCAAAAATGAGTAACTTGGGAGAATTGCCGATGTGATAAGTCCTTACTCTCAGAAGGATTTATCCTTTATTCTCTCCTTCTGCATGTGTGCTATATTCTAAGCCTGACTTTCCATCTGTTCCTTAATGATCCAATTGTAGAATCAAAAGTATCATCAGTGATTAGAAGGTTTTCTTGGTTTCATCGCTCCTTCTGTGATGGTGAAAATAGAGTCAACACCTGTTCTGTAAAACAAATTGTATAATTCATTTGCCTCTGAGATTTGGCTTCAGTCCATCTCACTTCATACCAGTTTGCCTTACATGGAAGTTCTTTATTTAGGAAAGCCTCAGATAGAGAAGGTTAGAGTCAGAAAGTAAATAAAGGGAGACTTTGTAGTGGTTAGGGACAAGGCTTGCTGATATTCTCCCAGACACCTAACATTTTTACTGTAAACACCCTATACTTTGTGTATTAGTTCATTTTTATTACTATGATAGAATACCTGAGGCTGCATAACTTTATAAAGAGAAAAAGTTTATTTAACTCACAGTTCTGAAAGTTCAAAGGCACCAGCCTGGCTCCACTGAGGACCACATTGCAGGTGGTCCATGAGAGGAAAGTTGCAAGAGGAAGCCAGAGAGCAGTTCACGGGTTGGGCTTGCTCTTAGGAGAACTATCTTCACTTTTTCTGAAGGCATACCCCAGTGACCTAAGGATCTACCACTAGGCCCCACCTCTTAGCATGGCGCACTGGGAACCAGGCTCCCAATATGAACCCCTGGGAGAGCACCACAGCATATTTGTACTACAGTTACCATTCAGAAGTGTCTTGCATCCTAACCCATCCCTCTGGAGTGGTTCATAGAAGAGAAGAGTGCCACACAACAGCCTAGACAGCTCACTGAGAAGGAATTACAGTTCCGTGCTCTGTTTTGTTTTCCTTTTTGGCAGAGAAGTGTTGAGAGACACTATTGCTTCAACCCTGTCATTAGTGGGTGGGTAATGGTGATATAAAATAAGAGATGAATTAGGATAATAAGAGGCAAAGAAGAAAGGAGTAAATTTTCCACAAGTAATATTTTTCTCTTCATGGTTATTTAACTTTGAAACAAAACTTGAAAGTAGTAATCATGGTTCTGCAGTAGACAAAGGACTGAATGTGGGAACCAGACAGGAAGGTGTGAATGCCTTTATTACGTTAACTGGAAACATACAGAAAAATGCACAACTTCCAGGAATACACCACTGTTTCCATCATAGAAAAGGAAAAGTCACAGGTGGCTGTTGTACCGCCTGTGCCTTTTTTCTTCCCCTTAACTATATCCTTTAATGAGTCTCTGCATCTTCTGGTTCTCTATATTTGCTTCTTAAGTTTTTCTTTGGATCATTTTGTGCAGTGGGTAGATAGGAAAACACCACCACCAGGCACACAAAACCTTTAAATAGATGCACAGGTGTTTATGGCTTTCTCACCAACAGCTACCTCTGCTCCTGTGTCCCCAAACAAACAAATGAGACCTATTTAAATTCATACCTTGATTCAACCATGGTGTAGTGTCAAAGTGCCTGTCACCTAGGTACTGGGGATGCAATAACAATGAAACAGACAAGGGCAATGAGAAACTAAACGGTAACCACACTCAAAGTGTTTTAAATGCTCCAAATAAAAATATGGTATAAGCGGTATAAACGGGAAGTTGCTTTCTACTGGGAGAAGTGGGGTCCCCTGAGGAATTATACGGGAAACTAGGGAGGTGTTTTAAGTGGGGGAAGACAGGATGTTACAGTCTTGTTTTCATTTGAAGGTTATTTTGGTGACTGTAGAGGTGGAATTGTAGAGGACCCAGACTAAAAAGAAGCACGTAAAGCACTGAAGTGAATCGGAAGATTCCTTTGCTTCCTCAGCAAAATAGTTCTTTAAAAGGTTCTTTAAATGTCATGACACTCTGGTTTGGAAATAATAACTAGTGTATTATTCTATACTGTATTTTTTACCAATGGATAATTGTATAGAGGTCTGAGAAAGCTTTACCTGTAAAGTGTTCTGTCAGTTCCCTCATAGTACTAATACCGCTTCTATTAAAAAAAATTCCATTACATTTTGTCATACACACACACATATAATTGCTATTGTATATTATTTTTCCCTGTTTACTCAGCTCCCACCGAACCATTATTGTGCAAGTTTGCAGATGGAGGACAGAAGAAAAGACAGAACCCAAACAAATATATCCCTAATGGAAGACCCTGGCATAGAGAAGGAGAGGTGAGACTTGTAAGTCCTTTCTTGAAACTTCAGTGTGGGTGTGCTCTCAAAACCTCCCATGAAGAGTTACACAAAAAGCATATCTATTTGGCTTCCATGCTTCTGAAATAGGTGCCGAGATTAAACCTTCTTCGCGTTGTTATGTTATGATTCAAGGGATGTCAGATGGAAATCCTTCTCAGTGTATATGACACTAAAATGTGATGATTCTCCACATGGACATATAGGTGCTGGACACAGCTATGTTTATCAGCTAATGATGGCTAAGGAAAAGGGTTCTAAAAGTATCTGTCAAAATGCACAAATGTTTGGGTTATTTTTGATTGTCATGGTTTAAATGTAACCTTTTAGAGAGGTTTACATTTATAACATTCAGAAAGTATTCTAAATAGCCTATAACTGTCATTGAGGGTGTTTTTAGGTTTTGGTGGTTTTTTGTGTTTTTAAATCATTCTTTTGTATCATTTTTAACCTTCAATCTTTCATAAAATATTGGTCCTCCACTTCTCTATATTTATTTTCAATAAATTGTTTCATTAATAAATGATGTTGGGCCGAGGATGTAGCTTAGTGGTTTTGCCGCCTGCTGTGCAAGCACAAGGACCTGAGTTTGTTCCCCGGTACCAAAAAATTTTTTAAAAATTTAAAATTAAAAAATAAATAATGTTTAGATCCAAGTATGTCTGGAGAAAATGTTCTAGAATCTGTACTGTCCAATGATAACCACTAGCTACATGTGGCCACCTGAGCAATTGAAATGTAGCTATTCCCCTGGAGGGACTGGCTTTTCTATTTAATTTTAGGATTTAGAGCTTAATTATGTTATTGAATTTGTAATTATATTTGACTAACAGAAACTCCCACTTTATCAAATGCCACTGTCATTGTCTGCTGCAGTGACTCTTAAAATGTGGAGTTTTTGAATCACACCTTTCTAGATGAACATTTATGTTTCCTTCTCTTTCCTGTAGGCTAGTATGACACTCACTTATGACCCAACTACGGCTGCTATACAGAACGGGTATGTCATGAAAATAAACACATAATGGCTTGAGGGAAAATGAAGGTGGAAAATATAAGACATTTGTTCCATGAATTACTCTATTTAAAGGATTACTTAATAAAGGCTTTTGTGTTTGTTCTAGATTTTATCCTTCACCATACAGTATTGCTACAAACCGAATGATCACTCAAACTTCTCTTACACCCTATATTGCATCTCCTGTATCTGCCTACCAGGTTTGTACCTTTAGGATTCATCCGCAGTGTAACAACTTGTGCACTATGAATCTCTGCTGCATTTTTATGTGTCTTAAAATTCTGAATATTTATAAGAAAACTTTAAGTCAAATTTTATGCAGCCTGCGTACCCAATTTAGAATAAGCTACTTTTTAATCTGGCAGAGTAATTTGCTTTTATGAATAGAAAAATGTAAAGCCAGGGAAATGGTTGTCAGTCGTCAGTCCTTGGAATCATAGCATCTCAGAATTGAGGTGAACCTGCATTTTCCTCCAGTGTGGGCCCAGCTTTTGGACACCATGTGTCCCCAAAATTGAAAGTTCAGGCAGTTGCAGCTAGGCAAAATGCAGAGTAGGTGTGTGCCCTTACTTTTCTTACTCATTAGCAAGAACTGATCAAAGAACCAGTAAACATGCTAGTACATAAAGATATTTCTCTATTAGGGATCATTAAGTGAGCAATGAAGATGAGATCGGCGCCCCCTCTCCCCCAAAGCGAAAAGGTGTAGTACCTCCCTGTTTGTGTTGTTTTGTAAGGGAACTTTGCCTTAAAACAGATCTGCAACTGAGAAAGTCTCACAAAACACCATGTCCTAACACTGGCCTCACCATACTTCAGAGCGCGCTCCTGCCCTCTTTGCACCCAGAGGCCTCCATGCAGCTTTCCTCCTGTACCAGGCCCTCAACAGGCCCACTGCCTGGCCCCACCTGGACATCAGGGTGGAGTTCAGTTCCTGCCTGTGGGAGATGAGTTTTCTTCTATTTACTGTTAGAATCCTGTGTGACTAAACTTTTGTGTCTTCTTTTTAAAACAAATTGGATTCTGTAGTCCTAATTTCTAGGGTTATGGGACTACAATATCTAATCTAAAAGCTGTGTTATTTAACTTCTGTAAGCCTCAGTTTCTTCATCTTTAAAATGGGGATAATAATAGTTCCTATCTCATAAGCTTGAGAGAATTAAAAGAACTAAACAAGACTGCCTACCTAAAGAGCTCTGTACGAACCTGCCATATCATTAGGACTCAATAAATATAAGCTATGGTTATTATTATCTTTAATAGCTGGCTGATAGTAAGGGTATATTAATTGTACTTTTAAAATAATAGATTAGTCAACATAAGCCAATATTAAAGCTAGTTCTGTCTAAAGCAAAATTAAATAAAATAGCTGAATAATAGAAGTAATTAGATGTGCTAAAACTGAAGTTTTAAAGTAGTAGTCACCTCCCTGAACTTTTAGGTTCTTCTAAGCCCCTTCCTCTGAATTGTCACTCATTTTCATTTCTTTATTCTCCCTGAGATATAGGTTATTTATCCTGATGTTTTAATCTGCTAGGCATAGTTTTCACTCATTTAATGCTGCTTTAATTTCACTCATTTAATGCTTTAAGACAAGATTCTATCTTTTCCTTGCGTCTATTAAGACTCAGTGAGATTTGCCCTAATAAATAATGCCTATATCTGGTATTAAAACTATCTGAATTTTGACATCTGTCATTTATATATCACTAAAAATAGGAACTTCCTCTTAGGAAAATCAAAGATTTGTATATTAATATCAATCTATGTTGCTATAGCTATTTCAACTTCTAAAGCATTTCTTTACTACTTCTTTCTTTAATATAAAAGCAATATGCATTTCAGAATCATTTCATAGAACAAAATATTAGAAGGCCAATGTTGGTAATCAGTTTGATATGGCCAACTGGAAATAATGTATCATTTTGAAGGTCTGGTTTCCTCTACTGGGCTTTCTGTATTGTTCTAAGATACATGTGGAATTTCAATCCATTTGCCTGACACTCAGTGCCCTAGCCTCTCAGATAGATTCTTAACCCCATACATTTAGGCACCAGGTAGGGTCAGTGGACAAGCTGTAGTTAGGTGACCTACAATCCTCTTTAGTTGTTTGCAAAGTGGTGTGTGTGCATGTGTGTATATACATGCACAAGGGTAATTAGTTGAGAGTCAGGGGAGTCTATTTCTTTCATCAGGTTTTCTAAGGGATCCATGATTCAAAAGAGGTTAAGAACCATTGGTAGAGAGTTTATTGATCATAGATTATTATTCCCATTTTATAATTAGGGAACATTGAGGAATAGAAATTGACAGCAGCTGATTTGCTGCTTAAGAAAGAAAATTGGATTAGATGTCATAGCTCCCTAACCCCATAATGGTATAAGCAATTAGATTAAGACCACTGGAGCATAAATAAAATGGGACATCTGGCCCAAATTGAGGGCCGTAAGGAACTGCTTGCCTTCCCATAATTTATCATATAAGGGCTCTACACTCTGTGGAATGGGCCTTTCTCCACTAAACCACCATATGCTGGTGTAGTTGGATTTGAAAAATTGGCATCTGCAGGAAAGCACCAGTATCCCATTGGGGAAAGGCTGCAGTCCACATAACTGAAACGTTAACAAGGCAGAAGCACTTAACTTTGGTCTGCCTTAGGTGGCAAAGGAAACCAGAGAAAACAAGTATCGGGGCTCTGCTATCAAGGTAAATCAAAATGCATTCTTCCCTCATGACTCTTCCCATATCTTGTCTGTAGCATCTCTAAAGTTAACACTGGGAGATAGGCTACAGAAGGGTTGTGTTGCTAAGAATTGGAATCTGCAACTTATTTTTAAATTACATAGACTCTGGAAAGCCCTGGGCATCAAGAAATGGACTGATGGGCTCTTAAGTGGCAGATTATACATGCTTTCCTCCCATAACCTGACCTTACCTTTTATTTCTCAATTCAGAGGGTCCACTGCATAGATACCCTTTTATTGGTAGATGCCAGGATCTAGTTACTGAAGTTTAATTTCCTGTATCTGAATTTCTGATATTTGTTTTCCACACTAACTAGAAATGGTTGATCACCATACAAGGTTTCTGAAACCTAATGTCCTGGGTATCAAAATAAGTTGAATTTGCTTTTTCTTATTAAATAGCTCCATACTGTGTAAAGGTTAGTTTCTAATAAGATACGCTGGAATTAATCTTCATTCATCCATATTCCAAAAACACCCAGTTCATACCTTAACACTCTTCACTAATTTGTTTGAGTTATTTAAATTTCTTGAAAGTGAGGTCTATATCTTGTTCACCTTTTTCTCTTTGGTGCCTGATACTCAGTGAATACTGCTTACGTGGCTAAATAGAAATTGGTTCTAAATAATCATTTCATCCCATTCAGAGTGACCAGCTTGCCAAGAACTCTAACTGCCTTAATCTTTTTAATCATTGATAGTATTGTTTCTTTACTTTCCTTCTGTAGATTTTTAACATGATTAAAAAGAATTCTAGAGAGCTAGGTAATTATTACAATGAAAATCAATGCTTCTTTCAAAACCCTCCTTTTTCCAGGTGCAAAGTCCTTCCTGGATGCAACCTCAACCATACATCCTACAGCACCCTGTAAGTTTTTGATCTTAGAGGCCTTGTGTTTTGCAAGTAAGCTGTCTGTGCTTAAAACAATTTCTCAAAAGTGATGCAGGATTTGAGAAATTTTTAACATGGAATATGAAAATCTACAAGTTCATTGTAAAACATCCATGCACTTTTGCCTTACCACACATTAATAGTGGACATTAAATTAAATTTTCTGTAAGAATTTAAAATATACTCTACATGAGGGAGGGTACTGTTTTCTTACTCATACCAGCTCAGTGGGAGATCCTTCAATTGAGTAGCTAAATTTTTACAATACTTCTAAATTGTTTAATGCAGACATAAAGTTCAAAATAAAGGAAGAGATTTTCATCAGTGTTACTTAGCCTGTTTGCTAACTAATAAATATGATTACTTAAGTAACTTAAACAATTGTTGTTCTAATGTATGTACATTACATACATTAAAAATGAGTTGTACATCACATTATTATATAAGATATTTAATGTGATTTTTAAAGATTCACAAAATCCAGTTATTGAAGCAAAACAGGGCCTTAAAAAGTAGAAGAATAAGGGTAGAGAACAAAATCATAAATAAGGCTAAAAATGGTCACAGTGATCTGCACATTTGGCACAAGAAGGTGACAGATTTGAAGCTAAGCTTTCTAGGAATCATTGCAAAATGGGAATCCTGATAAGCAAGACAGTTCACAGTATTTATAAGATTAAAATGGAGCAGCTGTTTAGGAAAAGAACTCAACTCTTGACCTTAAGATGAGATAGGAATTTGTCTCAAGATCCCTCCTATAGTAGACACTGTAACACCTGAAGGTGGGTATGAAGCAGCAGTCCAGGGATAACAGGTTCTGAGCAAGACGTACTGAGATGACCTTTGACAAGGACATCAAATAAACAAGGTTAGGTGATAACACAGAAGAGCTCTCTGTGATATATGGGTGTCTGTGTATTAAGTGATATATACCCTTTTATATTTGTGTGTACATGCACATGCGTACACCCACCGATCCACATATACTGACACATTCATATGTAACGTGTATCCACTAATCGATACATAACTTGTGTTTCAGGTATAGCTCCTCCTGCTGGGCTAGCCTGCTTTACAGCTAAGTAAAGGGAAAGGATGAGCTTAATACAGGATTTCTGTGAAGTGTTTGCCAAAATACCATTTCCCCTAACCCGCATAGAAATTCTCAGGAAAAGCAACCTAGATTTTAGGAAATTATTTATGATACTACTTGCAAGTTTGAGGGACATTATTTTTGCTTCATATTCCTCAACAAAGGGATTTCTTTTGTAAAAGGTAATTTCAGAATCTTACTCTTCCCTCAGTTTGTCTCACACTGTTCTTGCCTCGTCTCTCCAGGGCGCCGTGCTAACTCCCTCGATGGAGCACACCATGTCACTACAGCCCGCATCCATGATCAACCCTCTGGCCCAGCAGATGAGTCATCTTTCACTAGGCAGCACCGGAACAGTAGGTGGCAACTTAATATCATGTGCCTCCACAAATAAATTAATGCAGCCTGTGTCTTCCTGATCAAATCACAGGCTCTCGGAAGACAAAGATTTGTCTGACCTTCTCTCATCACCATCCCATATTGCTTTCCACAGAGTAGTACTGTTATTTCTTGATTAATTGAAGAACTGAACATCTATTCTGTGGATTTCTCTCTTTTGTCAAAATATAGCACTCACCCATGGCCACATCTCACTTTTAAAACCAGTGTCCTGAAGCTCTGATCTCATGAAGCAAAAGATGAAGGTGATAAATGATGGTGAAGGCAGGAAATGTTTCCCAATTCTTTTATGGAATTTAGGAAAACTTAATCATGACTCTCATACTGACTTCTTTCACCAGAGTCCAGGGGACTCATTTGGGTAATGATGTTGAGCTGTATGAGATCAGCTTCCAGGTGGATATGTGTGGGGTTTAGATCGTAAGAGATGACCAAAGGCATGTGGTTCAGCTTGTATCCATGGTGGCTTAAAAGATCAAAAGATGGCATGTTTTCCCTTTTTACACTCAAAAGCAGCTGTAACTTCATGTGAAGGCTAAGCCATAGCCACACACACAGCCCTGAGACTAAGAATTCCTTCTCCCTCTGGGAGATGGTGACTGTTGGCATCAGGAAAGCTATGCTCCTGGGCCTAATCTGCAGTGATCTGTTAAAGGTGTGTAAGTCATCCACGCTTTGGTTTCCATCTAAAGAAATAATTCTATCTACCAGTTTGGGAAGCTGCTAGAAAATAACAAACTTTTCTAAAATATTGAATTATTGAGAAGAGAAGCTTTAATGATTTTACCTATGGTGCTTCTTTGTTAGGAAATCCAAAGAAACATTAGATTTTTTTTTTTTTTACAAATTCAAAAAGTCAAAAATATTGACTTTGCTTCCATGTGCTTAATAAAGCACTAATTAATCTTTGAGGTTAGTCCATTTAAATTTCTTTTTTGAGACTTCCAGATACTCTATGTCCATCTCAGTATTCCCCGGCTACTCTGAATTTTGCATGGTTTACCATGGCCCATCCTGACCTTATTCTCCTTTTCAGTACATGCCTGCCACATCAGCTATGCAAGGAGCCTACCTGCCGCAGTACACACACATGCAGACAACAGCCGTTCCTGTTGAGGTGGGTACAGACCATCCAGTGACCATCCTGGCAATGGGTAGCTTTTGAAATGAGTGAATAAAATAGAATTCAAAGTAAAATGTATCAAAAACCAAACATTTGCATAAAGAATTGACTTTAGCAGGAGTATATACCTAGTGTTATTTTCAACTATAAAATAGAGTTCCCTCCATACAAAATAGGATAACAACATCCAGGCTACATCCCTAAGACTCCCAGAAATGTTTTTCAAGTTTGTCTTACATTTCTTACCCCTTCAAAGTTTTGACTTGTTAACTCCAAGATGATACTTTTTTTTTTTTTGGTACCGAGGATCGAACTCGGGTCCTTATGCTTGCATAGCAGGCAGTGAAACCACTGAGCTAAATCCCCGGCCCAATACTTAAAGGAACATTAAGATAAAATTGAAGTTTACAATCCTAATATGAAAGATTCTGTCAGTAATCATAGTGATTAAAAAATCAGAATTCATATACCTATTGAAAATGAAAAGCTGATATTTCAAAACTGTAACACAGATAATACAACTATAACAGATAAAGGATACCTGTTTTATAGATGCTGCTAGTGTGATTAAATCTTAGTTCTTATTATGGAAGATATTGGCATGGAAGAATCTGACATCTGAATTATTATTGCACAGGAAGCATAACATTTTCCTGCAAAGTACCTTTAAAATTCCAAGGAAATTCATCAATTGATTTTTATCCCAAAGGTTCCATTTTCAAGAAAGACTTGACTTGTTCCTATTATTTGTTGTTCCTTGACTTGTTCCTATTATTTGCTTCTGATTATGCAATTATAGACATCCAAAGTTACCATAGCTCAATTATCTGCAATTCTGAAACTTTTTCAAAAACATTGAAAATAAAAATTCTCTTTGTAATACTTATCAAAAACCCTGGCCTATGGCAAAACCCAGCTTGAACTATGACAAGACAAAATCTTTATGCCACATACTGAGTTTTTTCATGCCTTTCAGTCTAGAGCTGTTGGCATGTTTGACTATGAGGTACAGCCCTGGACCCTGCTGGTGGTACTTGTATGAACACAGCTCATGCATACTACATCTCAGATTCTAAAGTCTGAAGATACTGAATTCCAAATGACATCTGGCCTCAGGGAATAAGAAGTTAAAAAATTTGTTTGATAAAAAAAATATAGGCAAGTCAAACATTTGGATGAGAGATTTTTGGGGATCTGTCAGACATTTTAGCCACTTAGAGGAATTACTAAACTTAGAAGCTTTGAGCATGACATTAAGAAATTTTCCTTAAACTGTGCTTGTTTTTAATATCTACGCTCTTGAACAAATTCAAGCCTAAGAAGCAGAGTTAGGATTTCATTGCTAACATGTCTTATCTGTTCCCTTTTGTTGTAGGAGGCGAGTGGTCAGCAACAAGTGGCTGTAGAGACATCTAATGACCATTCTCCATATACCTTCCAACCCAATAAGTAACTGTGAGGTATGAGGGGAAGGTCTCCATAGCAGTGGGCACAAATCATATAAATCTATAGTTCTTTCATCAAAATGTTGCTTAGAATAACTGCTTCAATCATGGCCAAGTCATCCAATCTTATTGAAATGCTAAAATCAGTGATTTTGTGAATTTGCAGATTCACTGTTCGGTCCAAAAAGAACAATGTGTTTTACATCAAAGTCAAATGTATATTTACTCACTTCCAAAACAAAATCCATAACGTCAGAGACCATCGAGTACTAAAATTGTCCTATAATACAAGTGTTCTGTATTATTCCAGTACTCATAAACTATAAGATTAGCAATATTTTGATGGTGAGAGTAAAATTAGGGCCCTTAGATCAAAAGATTTTACTCCCAACTCTCACTTGAACCACAAATTTAAAAACTTTTCACTTTACCATGCATATTGCAGTATAATAGCTGTGTGGAACCTGATTTCAGTCAGGATTGCCCTGGAAACAATATGTTATTGATTTCATAACGTCACCCTTCATCTTTGGAGACCCATGTGAATTCAGGTCTGATTCCCTGAGAGAAACAAGTATTTTCCACATTCCAGCTTTGAAAGGCAGAGTCAAAGCATTGGAAGTGACCATCAGTCGTAGAATTTGTGTCTTTCAGTCTGCTTGCAGTGATGAGCACTGCCTTCTTCAAACATTTAGCTCTTTTAAACAAGGAAGAGATTACAAGGCTTTGTGGTGTGTTATACTGAATCTGCAAAAGCATTTCTCTTTTATCTTTCTCTTCCAGATGTACAGAAGGGTGTTCTTATGTGAAGAAGGGTGTGAAAGCTGAACAATCATGGATTTTTCTGATCAATTGTGCTTTAGGAAATTATTGACAGTTTTGCACAGGTTCTTGAAAACGTTATTTATAATGAAATCAACTAAAACTATTTTTGCTATAAGTTCTATAAGGTGCATAAAACCCTTAAATTCATCTAGTAGCTGTTCCCCTGAACAGGTTTATTTTAGTAAAAAACAAAAACAAAAAAAAAAACAAAAGATTTTTATCAAATGTTATGATGCAAAAAAAA